CTGTTAGAAGCAGCCGCAGAGAGACAGACAAAGCCCCGTTTGTTCACGGATTTGTTGTATTAGATTTCCAGATAATTTTTAATTTGAGAAATCAAAATCTTTTTTGGGTACAATTGTCACTTTTCTGAGCTAAGGGTTGACACATGGAACCATTAAAACACTTTCACTTATGTTCCCATTTCACTGATGACCCTTACATAATATAGAGACTCTGTAAGTAGATAGTTTCTCTTATGTATGTGGTATTACTCATGGTGCTTCCATAATGGCTCAGATGGTAAAGAATCTGCCTGCCATGCAGGAGACCTGGGTCTGACCCCTGAAACGGGAGGATCCCCTGGAGAGGGACTAGCTACCACTCTGTTATACTTTGGAGTATATTGGAGAATTGCAATACTTAATCAGAATTCCAGGGACATGGGAGCTTGGCAGGCTGCAGTCCATGAAGTGGCAAAGAGTAGGACACAACTGAGTGATTAACACACACACACAGTGGGTTGCTTAATATTGTCTCAATTTCTGCTGTCTAACAGAGCAATTGCAACCAAATATTTCTCGCTGATATAATACAGAGATTTTTCAACACCTCTGTTATTGGCACAGTTAGGAATTAGAATGCAAACTTAATTGGGTAGAACAAAGGATTTGCACAGGAAGAAGGATTTGCAGGCATCTGGCTTTCTTGGGCACGAAGCAATCAGAAAAGATGTCCAAGGACCTCTGGGTCCACCACAGGAGATGCAAGAAAACTAGGTAACATAGCTGGAGTGTCATGAAGCTCCTAAAGGCCAGTCCCTTCACTGGATCAGCAGAATAAGGCAGACCAAATGATCGTCATGACTTTGGAGCACAGAGCAGCCCTCATAAAGCACTCAAGCAGGACATGTCTCAGTCCAGGGCAGGATTGTCAGCCCCGACTAGAACAGGAGCTCCATAAGGGCAAGGATTCTGTTGCTCACTGGTGAATCTCTTGCTCCTAGGATGGTAATTGATTCAAAGTAAGTCCTCAACATATAGATATCAAATAAATGAATAACTCAGCTCATCTACCCACCTACTCTTTCATGTACTTGACATTCACTGTGGTGGAAACATTATGGGATGTCTGCCCAGCTCACTTGCTCCGAGATCTCTTCCCTCACAGAGGGTGGGCCTTTGGAAGGCCTATTCACCCGAGCCACAGTTCATTGTAACAGGTGGACACCTTGGCCATGATACAAGAATCAGAGCCTTGGAATAGGATTCAACAGTGCTCCTCGGGTTTAAGGGTGGCAGGATGGGAAACGTGCCAACCCCAGAAGTGTAGACATTTGCTCTTCCACCGCCCAGACCCAGCTGTGCAAGGAGAGGGACTGTGTCTGTTGATTCATGACTGTATCACCAACCCCTAGAAAACTGTCTGGTTCAAGGAACAGCCTCTTTAGACACTTTCCGAGGGATGACTGCGTGGATATACAAAGAGAAAGAATGGGAGATGCAGCCCTGGCAGCCCTCCAGTCCCTGGTTCTCCCCTTCCACACCCTGGCTGCCCCTGCCCTTTGGCTCTGTGAGATGCCCATGAGCCCCAGCTTTATTTTTGTGCTTCCTTCTTTCCTACATTAGCTCTGATTCTATCTGACACTTGCAAACATAATTTTGTATTAAACTCACTCATCACCCCTACATGTACTCACTCCTTCTTCATAAACTTATTGCTTCTTTGAAAAGTAAGGCTTAATCTCTATGAACATGCTCTACACTGCCTCTAAAAACAGGGATGATAGATATGAAAGGCAAGCCTGTGAACATGATGCCGAGCAATTAGAACATTGAATGGAAACATGATAAGACAGGACCCAGCGAGTCTTGGGAATCCTGGGAAAGGACACCTTGGGGTCAGCCGCTTTGGGTTTAAACACAGTTCACCTGGGTATGTATCTTTTACATGGGTTTCTTCATTCCTCAGTGAAACAAGATTGAGTAATAATTGAGTAATAATCCCCCCTCATACAGGATTGCCTTGAGTTTTACATAAGCCTATGAAAATGTTCTGTACTCCATGGAGTTAATCTCTGAACATTTATCAAGTATTCACTGTGTATAAAGTTCTAATGGTAGTGCTGAGTAAGAAATAATAAATCAGATCTTAGGCCAAGTTCTGGAGACACATTACAAGTCTGGACCCAAGTCTGGCTCAGAAGTTCTAGTCTTTGATCTCTGTGGATACATTCAGAACAATCTCCCCATGCCTGTGCAAACATTCAGCCTTACCTCAAGCACTTGACCTTAAAACAGAGTTGCGGCTGTTTTTTATTTTTTGGTCTTGTTACTGCTGCAAAGGAACAGAAACAGCAACAACTTCTGAAAAGGATAGAGAAATTCCCATGTATTCGTGTTCACTTTCTGTGAGTGACCAAGGTAGCCCTGTGACCTCTGACCCTGATGACATGAAGGTAGTCCTGTGAAGGACAGGTGGAGTGTAACCCACATGCCAGCAGGAGCAAATCTTCCCTCTTGGGTACATGCCCCTGGGTCTGGGAAATTCCGACAGAGACTGGCCCTTCAGCACCAGTATGTGACTCTCTACCCGCCATCCTTGAAGCCTGAGAGAGTCAGGAATGGGAGGCAAGTTTGCAGTGGGTGAGACAAATTGATAGCTGAGAGTCATCAGGAAGGGAAGGTGCTCTTAGTATTATTATTTTATAAATTGTCATAATAGTAGCAACAACCGTCTGAAGTATTTTCTCAGATCTAAAGAATAAGAGATAACAAGTACCCTTAGTAACAGGAACTGTTCTTACTAAGTGCCAGATGTGTTCCCCCACTCACCACAAATAGAGAAACCCTGCATGTAGCGACAAAGACCCAGCACAACCAAGCATAATAAAATAAATAAATAATTTTTAATATAAAACTAGCCTTATAAGCTGCCCAATACTATTCTTCATATGCTAGAAAGGAGGAGATTGTTTCATGACCTATCACTATGGATAAAACTTGTGAGATGTCTCAGTTTTCTTACTTTTTTCTGAACAATGAATAATTCATAACAACTCTCAAAGGAAAGAGATTATTAAGTGTTTTCAGAGTGTCATTATATTTCAAATATATATGAGCTTCTTATAGCTCATTTTAAAGAACTTTTAATGCCATGTCATTGATTTACCCTGTTCTGAGTGTTAGGTGTGCAGCACAGGCATTCAGATTCCTTTCTCTTATTGCTTACTACAAAATGGTGTGCATAGTTCCTTGCTTTATACCATCGGTTCTTGTTTCTCCTAACTCTTTTTTAACCTTTATCTCAAACTGTCACATCTTAATGGAACAGCCATTTTGGATATTCAATTTCCTGAAATGTACTGGCCTTCCTGACTTTTCCTGTCACATACCTCCTTCTGAAAATCTTGGTTCCTCCTATCCCCTCTGATCCAGTCTCCCAGACACGCCCGTCCCCACACAGACATACACCCATCTATGGTCAGGGAATCATTTTCTCCTGTTGGAGGGGCAGATGTGGTTCCAGTACTGGTGGATGCTGATGCCACCTTTCCACCATGACATCCTGAAGTCCTCTGTGGAGCTCGTGGCCTACTCTGCCCAACTGATGGTGGTGAGTCCACCTCTCTCTCATCTGCACATATCACACCAAGCTCAATCCACAGTTCACTCTCAAGCAGATATATCCATCAAACATCCATCAGACACAGTCCCCCAGAATAATGCGCTCAACCTCAGAGACAGGGACATTACACACTAGAGTGCACAAACACATTGTCAAGTGATGAAACTCCCCCCTACAGCCAAGCCTGTTCCCTCTTGCAGACACATGGACATATTATTACCCATCTTATGTGACACACACCTCAACACACATGTGCTACTGAGGTATAGAGATAAGAATTTGGGGCTTTGGTGGGGATACTGCATCTGGGCCCCCAGAGTCCTCAGCTCTGGCTGGAACCAGTGTTCTGGGACAGATGCAGTGATCATGGGGAGGAAGGCTCACCTGCAGAAGGAGGGACAGCTAGAGAAGGAGAAGACCGGGAGGCACTTGACTTCCTGGTCATGCTCCTCTTTGCCAGAGTGAGTGTGGGCAGGAGGGGCCTGAGCCTTTGGGCAGAAGCACACAGGAAGGGCAGACCTGCACTCTGGCCCTACCTCCGTAGATGGAGAACGGGAGCAGCTTGTCTTACAAGAAACTGTGGAAGTTTCATTTGCCTTGGACAAATGAAAATGATTCATCTTGTCAAACAGGGTATTTCAAGGCTATTTATACTAGAGAATTAAACCTGATTCTGAACAATATCACTCTGTTAAATAAGACACCACAGGGACATGTTTTTCAAGGAAGTTTTTTGTTTAATCAGCTTGTTTGTTTGTTCTTTAATGGTTTGTATTTTTTCCTGAAATGAAATTCGCTCAGTAGGGTAGAACTCTTTGCCATCCTATGGACGGTAAAGCACCAGGCTCCTCTGTCTGTGGAATTCTGAAGGCAAGAATGCTGGAATGGGTAGCCATTTCTTTCTCCAGGGGATCTTCCTGACCAAGGATCAACCTAGATGTCCTGCATGCAGGCAGATTCTTTACCCCCTGAGCCACCAGCGAAATTTTTATTGGAGTACACTCAATTATCAATGTGTGATAGTTTCAGGTGAACACTGAAGGGACTCAGTTTTCAGGAAGATTTTTAAAATATTTACTTTTCTGTTTTATTTCAAATTGTCTAAACGTTTTTAAAAATGTAAGCATGTGATAGTTTGCAATATCCTAGAACAAGGCAAACTCCCAGATCAAGTTACAAATATTATCTTCTCCTTACAATACTTACACTTTGGAACATAAGAGCTGGTTTCAGAAAACAAAAATAAAAAACAGCAGCAAATCTGGAGGCACAGGTCTGAGCTCTGCCTTCACCTTCACCCTCCCCCAGGTGGGCGGGGAGATCCTCCCAGATCAGGCTGGGTGCTCAGGGGAGGTCAGCCACAGTCAGGGGCAGTCAGCGATCCAGAAGCCACTGCACCATGAGTGTCTCTGCACTGAGCCCCTCCAGAGCCCTGGGTGGTGTCTCTGGGCTCCTGCAGGTGGTCTCCCTGCTCGGCCTGGTTCTGCTTCTGCTCAAGGTGGCACAGCTCTACCTGCGCAGACAGTGGCTGCTCAAAGCCCTTCATCAGTTCCCGTCTCCTCCTTCCCACTGGTTCTATGGACACAAGCGGGAGGTAAGATGGAGCTGGATGGGGGAGTGTGAGGATCGGGAGGGCCGGAGAGCTAGAGCATGGTCACACTCAGCAAGTTCATACCTGGCCCTGTGCTTGCCTGAGAGCACAGATGTCTAATCTGATGGATCAGCCCTGTGGCTTCACTGTGTGTGGAGACAACAGACAGGAATCTAAGAAGGTGTCAAGTCACAGGAAAAGAGGCTTACCTGCTGGGTTGGGTTATGTCAGGTGTGGAGATAAACCAGCTTGGTTCTTTCGGACTAAGTGATTTTCTCTTCCCGCAAGGTCAGTGCTAGAAACCCACACCAGAGGCCACACACAGGAGTGAAGTTCCCATGATGGGGCCAGGAGAGGAGAGCTGCCTGATTGGTGTCCTCTCTCTGGCCTATGAGCTCTTGGAACTGAGCCTGTAATCCTCTTCACCCTCAGCACCCACAACAGAGCCTGCACAGAGCGGAGTCAGTCCATTGTGTGGAGGGACAGGCAGGAGGGAAAGGAGCAGCTTGCAGGTTGGGACGGCAGCACCTGCCCACCCAGTACTGGCACCACTAGCCTGGGAGTGGGGGAGCTCAGAGCAAAGTCAGGGACCACATGGAAATGGCTCACCAAGGGTTTGTCGCTTAAACAAGCTTTAGGAGATAATCACAGGTTGCAGGGAGCTGAGGTCTCTCTTTCTCTGCAACATGAGTAGAGCAGAGTGGAGACAAGAACAAGAACTAGAAGCCCCCCAAGCCCCTTGCGGGCTGGCCCAGTGTCTCTCTCCCCTCTTCTCCCTAATCTCCTGCACCCCAGGTCACTCAAGGTCCAACCCCCACCCGCCTGTGCATTCTAGCCTCTGGGACTCAGCTCCCACGTGCCCTCTCCCCGGAATGATCTCATCCCTCATATGACTGTTTCACAAGCCCCAGGCCCAGTCATTTTCATCCTGGGTCTCCCAGGAGTGGAGAGGACACTCTTTTTCCCCTGGACGTCCTTCCCACAAGTCCGTGGTAACTGGATTCAGCTATTTCTCTCTGTAAGATCATAGCTATAGGCTTCTTCTGGGAAACCTTGCCTCAGATTTATGTTTCTATCGTGAAAGCATCTTGGTAAATTATGAGTCAAAGAAAGAGCAAGTGCAGGAAGACTTTCTTAACATCCAGAACTGAGTTAGGCCCCCTTCCCCAAAGCTTCCCCATAGGCTTTGTGCTCTGTCCATCACACTTGCATGACGCCCTCCTCTTATGGCCCCTTGATCTCTCAGTCTATTCCACTAGCCTGCAGGCTCCAAACAGACAAGCATCTAGAGCCGCCTCCTAATTTAGTGCCTTCAATCTGTGTCTGACACAGAGTTACTGCTCAGTAAACACAAGCGCAGGGAAGGAACATGACCCAGAGTAGCCAAATTGCCTCAGGGCTGGTGAGTCTTGATGGTAGAGCAGGTAGAGATCAGATACCAAAGTGTAGGGGGCTGATCTGAGTTACACAGAAGCCACTGAAATAAAGACAATGTGACAAAATGGAACTTGCCTGGGATCAACTGTTGACAAGAAATCCAGAGGTAAGAAAACAAACTGAGCCTCCAAAGTAGAGGAGAGGCAGTTGCTCTGTGGTGAAAATGACAGGCCACCAGGTAGAGGGAAGAACATGAGCAAAGACCTGGAAGATGAGCAGGTGGATCCAGTGCAACAATGTTGATAGCAGCATCCTGGGGGCAGAGCAATGGGTCCTGTGGAATCACCAGCCTGTCAGGGCAAGAAGAGAGAGGGTAAATTCAGAAAGGAAAGGCCTTTGTTGTCCACACCCAGGGGTGCACATAGATTCTAAGTGTACAAGACGGATAATGCACAAAAGTTTCTGACAATTACTCAATGAAACTGAGATTAAAAATCCACATATCAAAATCTTACTTCAATACCATTCTCATATGTGTATATGCAGAATCTCTCCTACAACTATGCACACATTCAATATGGAAAATAATATTATACACACAGTGTAATATTTAATTTTTTTCACTTAGCCATACACATTCCAAACATTCTTTCATACTAAGATACTTTAACATGTATGCTGGGATAGTATCAAACATATATATGATCAGGATGGCGAAATGAAATTAATAAATCAATTCAATTCTTAAAATATCTATCTCTTCTCTAAATAAGCCAAATAATAGGAAAATAAACTGCTTACTTTCTCCAAGGGATCTTCCCAAACAGGCATCAACCCAGGTTCCCACTTTCTAGACATGTTCCTTAATATCTGAGCCACCAGGGAAGCCCACCAAGTGATACAAATGATCATAAATTGCTCTAGCAGTTATATCCCTGTGGGCAAATTATTACCAAAAGTTTCATAAGCCATGGAGTTGTCTTTGATGTAAGATTCTGTAGGCAGTTTGTAGTGTTGGCCCATAACTCTACTTGACATGGGACAGAATCCTATTTTAGGACAACGGTGGACAGTCTGCAAGGTTGGATGAGATTCCAGGTCAGAAGAAATAGCTCAACACTCTTAGTTCTGCTGATGGATCCAGAGTGATCACCTAGTACCCTTGCAGGCCTTCACCTCCACTCCTGCTCTGGAACTAAAAGAAAGAAGTCATTGACTTGTCTTTCCGTTGGTGACAGTTCCAAGAGGAGGGTGAGCTGCCTCGCCTACTGAAAACGGTAGAGAAATACCCAAGGGCCTCTGTTCACTGGCTGTGGGGCACAAGGGCCTTTGTGTTGCTCTATGACCCTGACTACATGAAGATGGTCCTGGGGAGATCAGGTGAGAGGGAAACCCTCAGCCGCAGACAACCTTCCATGTGTGTACATGCCCCTGGGTTTGAAATTCCACAACACACTGGCATATCAGACACCAGGCCTGAATTCCTCCAAACACCCTCCCATCACAAGCCAGATAAGGACAACATTATTTACTATTAATAAATGCTTTACTCCTCATGGGGCTGGATTCTCTTTTATGTCTCTTTTCTTTTTACAATCATTGAGATGATCCCAGACCTGGAGCCAATTTCCTGTCTACACTGACCTAGGTTGGGCACCTTTCACTGTAGCCAGCCCTGGGTCATGAGATGGCCAGACCACCACTGATTGTAGAAAACTCACAGATTCGGTCTCATTCTATGGCACTGAACAGAGTTTCTGTTTCAGGGCAATTCACCAAATTAATGCTGTGGGTGTTCTGCTCTGCAACACTGAGTCTACTTTCCTGGGACCACAGTGACTATCAGGACAGAGAGAGTCAGGGATGGGAGGCAAGTGGGTGGTGGCTTCAGACTGACTGCCATTTGATAAGCACCAGGAAGGGAAGGGAGCCCATGGTCTAGACCTCAGCTGCTCTAGAGGCTGTCTGCCAAGTTTTGTCCCATCCATATTCCCTCTTTACTTTTCAGACCCAAAGTCTCAAGTTAGCTACAGATACCTGAAGCCCTGGATTGGTAAGTACATTTAAATAAAACTGCCAGCCACCCACCTGTTAGGTAAACTAAGAGTGGTCTCTTTGTATAAATGGAGAACAACAGGTGCCAGGCACCCCCATCTCTGAATAAAACATAATTTTTCTAAAACAACATCAGTGGTTGTAATGGTGCTGTAGCCCTCCTGAAGCCGAGCTGCTTCTTCATCACTTCTCTTTTCTAATGTTCCCTGACTTTTCGGTAAGTTTTTTATCACCTGCCCCCCTACACTTTTCCGTCCTCATGGCTGTCACAATCACATGCTATGGACAGACATATTGGAAATTCACAACCCTTAAGAGTACTGGCCTCGCCGACCCTTGCCCATGAGGAGATTTCTCCTGACACCCTTGGTTCCTCCCAAGGTGGCCCCAGTCTCCCCGAGGCCCATACACACCCATCTGTGGTTCAGGGACAGGTTTGCTGCTGTTGGAGGGGCAGACGTGGTTCCAGCACCGGCGGATGCTGACCCCAGCCTTCCACTATGACATCCTGAAGCCCTACGTGGGACTCATGGCTGACTCTGTCCGAGTGATGCTGGTGAGTCCATCCCTTGTCACCATATGCACTAGAATCCAGCACAGCTGACATAGTCCACTATCAGACACTTATGTCCCTCAGACACCCATTGAATAGAACTGCCCAGAATGATGCTTTCACGACATAGTACGAGACAGCACTCATTAAAACTAGGTGGGACAGAGGAACATCTAGGCAACAACATGGATCTATAATTTTCTCCTTACCAAGAAAAATCAAGGCCATGGTGTATTCAGGATCCACTCTTCTCCCATCTCCATGTTTAAACGCAGGGGAATAGAGCAAGGAGGTCAGCTCAAACTGGCCATGGCTGGCCTGGACAATGGCAGCTTCGGTGGCAGAGTGGATATCCCAGGATGTCACTCAGGTGGGCTCTGGCCTGGGTTCCATGGCTTCTGCACATCACTGAGCCACTCATGGGAGGAAATGAGTCCAGGTCTACACTCACAGAGCTGGGCCTTCACACACATCACCTCTGATCCAGACCAGGTACCACCTGTTCTTAGTAACACCAGATGAATGAAAGCAATTGAGTAGTTCACGCCCCTTCTAGGAGCCCCATTAGAGCCACTTTAGCTTTTCCTTCGGAGAAGGCAATGGCACTCCACTCCAGTAGCCTTGCCTGGAAAACCCCATGGACGGAGGAGCCTGGCAGGCTGCGGTCCATGGAGTCGCTAAGAGTCGGACATGACTGAGCGACCTCACATCCACTTTTCATTTTCATGCATGGAGAAGGAAGTGGCAACCCACTCCAGTGTTCTTGCCTGGAGAATCCCAGGGACAGGGGAGCCTGATGGGCTGCCATCTTTGGGGTAGCATAGAGTTGGACATGACGAAAGCAACTTAGCAGCGGTAGCAGCAGCTTTTCCTTGCCTTGAAATATTTGCTTACTATTGTTAGATATCACCTGTCCAGATCTGACCTCAGGACACAAAAGTTCTCCCTTTGTTCCCTGAGAAACTATGCTTTCTGCTCTGCCAAAGGTGGTTATTCTCATAGTTCAGTTCAATTCAGTTCACTTCAGTGGCTCAGTCATGTCCAATTCTTTGTGATGCCATGAAGAGCAGCACACTAGGCCTCCCTGTCTATCACCAACTCCCAGGGTTTACCCAAATCTATGTCCATTGAGTTGGTGATGCCATCTAACCTTCTCATCCTCGTTGTCCCCTCTTCTCCTGCCCTCAATCTTTCCCAACATCATGGTCTTTTCCAGTGAGTCAGCTCTTCCTATCAGGTGGCCAAAATATTGGAGTTTCAGCTTCAACATCAGTCCTTCCAATGAACACCCAGGACTGATTTTCTTTAGGATGGACTGGTTGGATCTCCTTGCAGTCCAAGGGACTCTCAAGACTCTTAGCCAACACCACAGTTCAAAAGCATCAATTCTTCTGCACTCAGCTTTTTTTATAGTCCAACTCCCATCCATACATGACCACTGGAAAAACCATAACCTTGACTAGAAGGACATTTGTTGACAAAATAATGTCTCAGCTTTTTAATATGCTGTCTAGGTCATAGCTTTTCTTCCAAGGAGTAAGTGTCTTTTAAATTTCATGGCTTCGGTCACCATCTGCAGTGATTTTGGGTCCCCAGAAGATAAAGTCAATCACTGTTTCCCCATCTATTTGCCATGAAGTGATGGGACTGGATACCATGATCTTAGTGTTCTGAATGTTGAGCTTTAAGCCAACTTTTTCACTCTCTTCTTTCACTTTCATCAAGAGGCTCTTTAGTTCTTCTTCACTTTCTGCCATAAGGGTGGTGTCATCTGCATATCTGATGTTATTGATATTGCTCCCAGCAACCTTGAAGCCAGCTTGTGGTTCCTCCAGCCCAGCATTCTCATGATGTATTCTGTATATAAGTTAAATAAGCAGGGTGACAATATACAGCCTGGGCGTACTCCTTTTCCTATTTGGAACCAGTCTGTTGTTCCATGTCCAGTTCTAACTGTTGCTTCCTGACCTGTATACAGGTTTCTCAAGAGGCAGGTCAGGTGGTCTGGTATTCCCATCTCTTTCAGAATTTTCCACAGTTTACTGTGATACACACAGTCAAAGGCTTTGGCATAGTCAATAAAGCAGAAATAGTGTTTTTTTGGAACTCTCTTGCTTTTTTGATGATCCAGCAAATGTTGGATTATAATAACTTATTATCATAAGTTATCCAATATTCAGGATTTACTAGGATATTAGAAGAGAATATACTGCATATATAAGAAAGATACAGAAAAATAGGTATCACATTACACACGTGTGTTACGGCCATAAGTTGCTAAAACATGTCTGCTTAGAAAATGAGGAAATCTCATCTGAAGATGTAGAGACAGAGAGAAAGCCTGGCCTTGGCAGCACAGGTCTTCTAGGGGAACAGAGCAGTGTCAGTGCCTCCTCCCTCCGCAGGACAAGTGGGAGAAGCTCGCGAGCCAGGACTCACATCTGGAGATCTTTGGACATGTCTCCTCAATGACCCTGGACACCATCATGAAGTGCGCCTTCAGCCACCAGGGCAGGGTCCAGATGGACAGGTCAGTGACAGCTTTCAATGGCAGGGTCCTGTTTTCATCAGCTGGGAAGGACTTGCCTGAGATGCAATAAGGGCAGTGTGGATGCTTATCAGCACAAAAAATAACATTCTACAGAGAGACATGGACCATAGTCAAATTCTACCCAGACCACCCTTGACTCAGTCAGAGGTCCGTGACTCCTGGACAGGAGAAGCCTGGCCCCTCAGGACACTTGCAAAGGACTCCAGGGGGGTGGCTCCAGGGCAATGAGGCAGAAATGATCATGCCTTGGTGTTACCTGAGCAATCTGACCCTCTCCAGGTCAGCGCCTCCCTCAACTCCAGTATCTTCTGCGTTTTCTCCCCTCAGGAACTCCCAGTCCTACATCCAGGCCATCAGGGACCTCAGTCATCTGATTATTTCCCGAGTAAGGAATGCTTTCTACCAAAACGATCTCATCTACAGGCTGACACCTGAAGGCCGCTGGAACCACCGGGCCTGCCATATCGCCCATCAACACACAGGTTCTCATCTCCCTCTTGGACTGATCCCCCACCTTCATCAGGCTCATGTGACCTAGCCTTGACTCCTTAGGCAGAGCCCAGACTCCTGCTTCCTATTCATGAGCTGGCATACACCCGCCTGCTTCAGGGATGAGGAATCCAGAATTCGGGATATCAGGTGTAGAACAGGGAGTTCCAGGGGTTATGATCTTGGTGATGACTGTGTGAGACCCCCTCCCCGCAGCATTCAGGCAGAGCCCCCACGGGCTGTGTTACTGCTTGGATTCCCATCTAGAGTAGATGATGCAGAAGCTCTCAGTCCTGACATGCTCACCCAGTCCCACCCTCACCCTCATCCACCTGGCACCCAGACTGGGCCTGAGGGGCAGATGGGGTTATGGTGGGTGCAGAATCTGAGCTCCCCAGAGTGCTCAGTTCTGGCTGGGAACCACTGTTCTGGGACAGACACAGTGATCAAGGAGAGGAAGGCTTACCTGCAGAAGGAGGGAGAGCTGGAGAAGGTGAGGAGCAGGAGGCACTTGGACTTCCTGGACATCCTCCTCTTTGCCAGAGTGAGTGTGGGCAGGAGAGGCCTGAGCCTTTGGGCAGAAGCACACAGGAAGGGAAGACCCTGCACTCTGGCCCTGCCTTCACAGATGGAGAATGGGAGCAGTTTGTCTGACAACGACCTCCGTGCCGAGGTGGACACGTTCATGTTCGAGGGTCATGACACCACAGCCAGTGGCATCTCCTGGATCCTCTATGCTCTAGCCTCCCACCCTGAACATCAGCAGAGGTGTCGGGAAGAGATCCAGAGCCTCCTGGGAGATGGCGCCTCCATCACCTGGTGAGTGTTCAGGAGATGGAAGAACCCTGTTCCACCTGAGCTAGAGAGAATCCCTGGTTGTCCCGTCCTGCCTGCTCTCCGATGCGCTTCCTTTCAGGGACCATCTGGACCACATGCCCTACACTACCATGTGCATCAAGGAGGCACTGAGACTCTATCCACCAGTACCACTCATCAGCAGAGAGCTGAGCAAGCCCATCACCTTCCCTGATGGACGCTCCTTACCTGCAGGTATGAACTTCACCTCACCACTCAGCTAAGCACTCTGTAGGACCACATGCTAGATCAGCAATCCACCTGTGGATTTCCAGTTCTAGGATTCTCTGGCTCTTGTCTGCCTGAAGATAATATTCATTCTGTAGTTTGAATGAGTTTTAAAAAATGCTTCTCCATAAAACCTAGGATTAATACTACCATATAGTCAACAATCCTACTACTGGGAATATACCTTGGGAAAACCAGGTTCCAAGAAGTACATGTGCTGCAGTGTTCATTGCAGCATTGTTACAACAGTCAGGACATGGAAGCAACCTAGGGGTTCACTGACGGATGAATGGATAATGAAGATGTGGTCCATATACACAATGGAATATTACTCAGTATAAAGTGGAACAAATCTGAGTCAGTTGCAGTGAGGTGGAAGAATCTACAGCCTGTTATACAGAGTGAAGCACTCAGAAAGAGAAAAACAAATATCGTATATTAACACATACATATGTATATATAGAATCCAGGAAAATAGATAAATACGTTGATGAACATATTTACAGAGAAGGAATGTAGATGCAGACATAGGGAATGGACTTGTAGACGCAGGAGGGGAAGGAGAGGGTTGGAGGAATTGAGAAAGTAACCTCGACATAGACTGTCATATGTAAAATACGAGTATGTATCTAGTGGAAAGCTGCTGTATAAAAGGGAGCCCAGCCTGATTCTCTGAGATGACCTATAGGGGTGGAATGGGAAGGGGGAGAGAGGTGCAAGACAGAGGGGATATAGCTGTTGTTTAGTTTCTAGGTCATGTCTGGCTCCTTAGTGACTCCATAGAGTGTAGTCCAGCAGCCTCCACTGTCTGTCACATTTCCCAGCCAAGAATACTGAAGTGAGTTGCCATTTCCTTCTCCAGATATATAGATACATAACTGTGCATTATTTGCACTCTAGTATGGCAGAAACCAACACACCATTGTAAAGTAATTTACCTCTACTGAAAGCAAAATTGTTTGACACACATCTTGAATGCAACAAAGCTCAACAAATAATTGTTGATCCTTCTGTGTGGTCTTATGATGGAGCCTAAAATTCTAATTCTTCAATCATGAAGGCTTAAGAGAAAAGCAGAAGCTGGGGAGGCACGGTTCTTCCACATGGGGTGTGAGTAAAGGAGGAAGCTCAAGAGACTCCACTGTCGTGGGTCAGAGGGTCTAGTCTCTGAGGTGCCCTCTGTGGATGGCAAAGAGCAGGTGATGATGAGGTCTGAGAGCCCTGCCATGCCTGGAGGCCACCCACTGACTCAGCACCCAGTGGGTCTGAATCCCAGCCCTGTTCCCTCCTAACTGTGGGATCATAGACCCAACCCATAACCTCTCTGAGGCTCAGGTGCTTCATGGGTTCGTGGGGACAGGACTGCTTCCGTGAGGATTAAATGATTATTGCACATTCCCCAGGTTCATGATGGCACTTGACAAATGTGAGCTGCTCCTAAGTGTAACCTTGCAGTTCTTTTAATTCTCAGTCCTGGGCTCTGGTCACCTACCTCTAATCTGAGATCGTGGGCTTTGTCATGCCCCACCCACCTGTCTTGCAAGAGCATCATTTCATCCAGTGTCAGAATGTGCTCCCATGATGGCTCCCAGGACTTTTGTGAAGACACACATCCCCTGCACTATGGGACTATCAGGTTTCTCTCTCTCCTCTGCCCCACAGGAATCTCAGTCTCCCTCTCCTTTTATGGGCTTCATCACAACCCGAAGGTGTGGCCGAACCCAGAGGTATGATGGACGTGGGAGGAGGAGATGGGATGCTCTCTCGACACCAAACCTTTCCCCTGCTCCCTCTCTGGGACTCTTATCCCCAGGGGATTCATGTGAGGGGTTTGACCCCAAATGTCCTGGCCCCGGTGCTCTCTCTGCAGGTGTTTGACCCAACCCGGTTTGCACCAGGTTCTACTCGACACAGCCATGCCTTCCTGCCCTTCTCAGGAGGATCCAGGTGAGACCTCTGCACTGGGGGAAGCAAGTGTCACTGGTTGCTACCCGAGGTGTGTGACTGTCTACCTTCTTATGAGGAGCATGAAGTTCTGTCCTTGCATGTTGATGCGCTGAGGAGGAGGCATGGGTCTCCATGAACAAGATCTTAAGGGCCCACTACAATGACACTGACCTCCTACTGCCCACAAGGATTGACCTCGTTTCCATGTCAGTGGCCAATCCAAAGTATCCAGGTTATCCTCACTTTAGGAGTATGACATTTTAGCATTGGAAGTCTTCATGAAATTCAAACTACACTTCTTTGCTTAGCACAATGACAGTCACCTTAAAAGATGATTTTCTCTGTTCCCGCCTTCCTAGTCAGAACACTACCTTTCTGCTTCATTCACCTGTCCTCCCTCACTGTATTCATCATGCTTGCCTGGATTGGGAATTCCATGTCCTGAGACTTCAAGTCATGTATGTGATCAGTTATAGTTGTAGTTTGAAGAAAGTTTCACGGTCATGAGTGTGTTCTCTCTTCCTGTAGTACATCAGACATAGATTTGACTGTGTATTAATATGACCGTGATGTCACGGTCTTCTGTTGCCAAAATTCTTTATTAAAAAGCAGAATTTAGATACCATAGTCCCAGATTCTCCAGAGTGATGTTAGTAAGAAAAACCTTAAAGTGGAGGACAATCATGTCTGCTTTGGGGACTCTATTGCTGATCCTGCTCATGATGCCAGTTATCTCACTGTTCACACCGTGCACACCGTTTGCTGAACCCAGGATAGGCAAAGCGTCAGCAAAGAGGCTGGAAGAGGACTGGAGGAGCCATAGGAACTTCAGACATGTTTATTCTGTCCTGGATGTGTCATGTCCGCCATAACCCAGCTCTGTGCTGCCTGACGCAGTCTCTGTAGCAGCAGCCATAAAAACCATAACATAGCTAGAACATAACCTCATATAATGTATCCATGATATTACTCCAATGTAGCCCCAATAGAGCATTAACCAGGGCTTTCATAGTGACACTCCTAAAGGTGTACCACACAGCACCCCCAGAGCTTTTCCAGGTGGAGCTTATATAACAAAAGTAGCCAGAGTCCAAGCGAGTACCATGTGACTCTCGTATGCAGTGCTATAGGTGATCTCAGCTGTTCCACAATCATTACTACAACCCCTGAGGCAACAGTGAGAGACCGCAGGGCAAGAGGGCCTGACCATGCCATCTTCGCTAATTTGCTCTTTCTCTAAAGGGGGGAGACTATTTTGTGTTTGACAAGTGCATTTGAAAAATGCATTGCATGTAAAACCTAAAGCACCCTTGAAATAGCTGTTAGCCTGGATGATACACTCCTAAATGATTGCTGTGCAGAACTTAAAGGGCACAGAACCTCCTCTGAAAGAGTAATTTCAATGACTTTGTAACTTAGTAGAAATAAGTTTTTTCTGACTGTACAGATCTAGGAAACTTTCAGTTGGTGAATCAACCTTTACAGAACAGTGTTCTGTAAGTAACTGTCTTCCTGAATTGTTTCTAGGATTTGGTTTACACCAGGGTGCAGCTGTTCCTAGAGGGCAGGAGGGACTAGGTGGTTTGATTCCTAGGTCAGACTGAATAGTTCTTATATTCTCATTCCATTTGAGGTGTTTTCAGTTCAATTAATATAGTTCAAATGTGAAAATATGTATTAAGCGTGTCTCCGTGTACCAAGACCTGTGCTAGGAGATGGGAACACAGGGATGATAATGCTGTCCTCCCTCAGAGCTCACTGTCAACAAATCAACACGTCTACTCAAGACAGACGTCATTCACACATCCACTCTTTCACTCACCCATTCATTGGGCAGACTGTGGAAGGATTCATGGTCTGGCACTGTCCTGTGCACTGGATGTGATGTGTCCTTAGTTTAACACCCATGGTGCCTTAAGGGTCCCGAATGGGAAGAGGTGCAGCCAGCAGAAGGGGTGAGGGTGGTGGTCACTGGATTGAGCCTTGAGCATGAGGATGGCAGGGGTGAGGGGAGGGGACCTCAACAGTTGCTGAATCAGGAAGAGGAGCTGGACAGACCCCAGGTGAGTGAGGAAGAATTCAGAGAGGGCTGTGATGCAGCTGAGGCACTGGGATGTGTCTTCCCTGTGATGCGGAACATAGCAGGCCTGGAGCTACTGTGGCTTTAGAGGGAGGGGAGGAATAGAGGCTGAAAAGGCCAGATGAGGAGCCCAAGGGATGGTTAGCAGGGTCATTTCTGGATTAGAATGGGAAGGTTCCAAGAGTAGATTGACTGAGGGATTGAGGGGGACAGGAAGCCAGACCATTAACTGGGAGGGAATTGGACCAGTAGGTTCAGGGTGGTTAACCCTTGTCTTCTCCAGGAAGCCTCCCTGTTGCCATTCTGATTCCTTGCACAATCCTGTCTTGTCATCTCTGGGCGCTAGGCAGCGTTTGTCCTCTGTAGGTAGTAAGATCCTGAGAGGATGCCACCCTGCCCCTAGAGTGTCCTGGACTGACCTGAAACCAGGAATTGCCAGTGGACGAGTGAATAAAGTACTAGTTCACAGTTCTTGATACACTTGACTTGATTCTGTTGCTTACAGCACAGGTGCTCCCCAGGATTTCCTGCTGAGAGCAGGAGTAGGAGTTAGGAGCTAGTCCTTAGAGAGGTGGGCTTTGTCATCTGTCAGGGGGAGAGCTTTGCTAGCAAGTTGAGTGTGATTAGTAAGGAAGGGATCAGGGCTGGGCCACCTGGAGGAGACCCCAGATTCACTCTTCTCAGCAGGGGTTAGAAGCCCTTGCTTACTTCCTTTTTATCTCCCAACCTAGGAACTGCATCGGGAAGCAGTTTGCCATGAATGAGTTGAAGGTGGCCGTGGCCCTGACCTTGCTTCGCTTTGAGCTGTCACCGGATCCCTCCAGGGTCCCTGTGCCCATGCCAATCATTGTGCTGAGATCCACAAATGGGATCCACCTGCAGCTCAGAAAGCTATCTGATCCAAGTGGGGACAAGGACAAGCTCTGAGGGCCCCTGCCTGCCATCCTGTCTTGCTGTCACTCTCTCCTGTCCTTTCCTCTTTGCCCACTTCCTGCTTTTGTCTGCCCTCTGCCAGCTTGCCTCATCTCCTGCCTCCTGCCCAGCAGCAGACTCTCTGCCCTTCTCCTCTCAACTTTCTCCAGGCTCTCCGTCTGCTTATTTCTCCATCTGTCTCTGACCCACTGTATCTCTCACTGTCCACCTGAATCCTGATCACCCGACATTTTCCAGTATGTGTATTCTCTCCTGTGTTTCTCCCGTTCTGCCTGCCTATCTGTCTCTGTAATCACTTCCATTTAGATGGTAAAATGATTTGCCTCTACCTTAGGGCCTTAGAACAACACAGTGTTATCCTCTAGTGGCTCTGGAGTGAGAAGTCAGAAATGGGTTTCCCTGGACACAACCAAGATATCAACAGGCCCCTCATCCAGGGACCTGGGACAGGATCCTGCTTTTTGCCATTTTTGCATCTAGAGCTACATTCTTGCATTCCTTGTCTCCTGGGCCCTCCTCCACATTCAAATCCAGCAGCATCTTCAAATGGCCCTCTGCTCCTGTCTTCATATAACCTTCTCTTTCTTCAAGACTTTGTGCTTACCTGGGCAACTCAGACCAAACAGGTTCATTCTGGGTTTCCGCGAACTAGGACAAGAACACCTGGGGAGCCATCTCTGCACCTGTTAAATACTGTGCGACTCCCTTCGCCCTGGGCCACTGCTCTCTCCTGCATTAGATGGGTCTACCCCCGTTTCACTCACAGGGTTTCCTCTTTCCCGGTCCCTGGATAAAGTGCACAATATCATATGGAATGCGTGAGTCTTCTCTGAAAGGAGTCGGATGAAGCAGAAGAGAGAGAAGGGGAGGGAATAACAGCGGGAGGAGCAGGGGAGATAAAACCTGCTCTGTGGGGCCGAGACCCTAGCAGGGAGAGTGTCTCCAGCCCCCCTGCAGCTTCACACTCTGGTGTCACTGAAGCCCCACACCCTGTCCGGTACCTGAGGCTCCCATGACAGCTGAGTCAGGAGACAGGCCTCGTCGCCTAAGGCTCAGAGGGAAGACGCTCACACCAACACCTGTCAGGGAAGGAGCCTGCCTCTTCCTCTGCGGGAGCTTTCTCACCACATCTGTAAAGGGGCCCAGCCAGCGCCCACCCTTTGCAGAGCAGGGAAGACTTACAGACTTGTTCAGGCACAAGGGTCTGATTCACCCCCGAAGAGATTTGAGAAGAGCCCAGCCTAGCCATGTCACCAGCCCCGTGGCAACCCTTCCTCACGGACAGGGCCTGCAGACTCCTCAGATGCCACAAGCGGTGGGGGCGTGTGTTGTGCAGCAAGGCCTGGGAGGAACCAGCTGGGCACAAGTCTTGGCTGACACACAGGGAGAAGCCAGGCCCCTCAGGACACTTGTAAATACTGAGCTTCTCCAGAGGGTAACGCAGAAATGACAATGCCTCAGTTGGGAATGCAAACTAGCATAGCCACTATGGAGAACAGTGTGGAGATTCCTTCAAAAACTGGAAATAGAACTGCCATATGACCCAGCAATCCCACTTCAAGGCAAACACACTGAGGAAACCAGAATTGAAAGAGACACGTCTACCCCAGTGTTCACCATAGCCAGGATATGGAAGCAACCTAGATGTCCATCGGCAGATGAATGGAATAGGACGTTCAGAATATGGATAAGGAAGTTGTGAATATTCTATACACAATAGAATATTACTCAACTATAAAAAAAGAACTCATTTCAGTCCGTTCTAATGAGGTGGATGAAGCTGGAGCCTATTATACAGAGTGTGTAAGTCAGAAAGAGAAAGACCAATACAGTGTATTAACACATACATATGGAATTTAGAAAGACGGTAATGATGACCCTATATGGAAGACAGCAAAAGAGACACAGATGTAAAGAACAGACTTTTGGTCTATGTGGGAGAAGGCGAGGGTGGGGTGATATGAGAGAATAACATTGAAACATGTATATTACCATATGTAAAACAGATGACCAGTGCAAGTTCAATACATGAAGCAGGGCACTCAAAGCTGGTGCTCTGGGACAACCCAGTGAGATGAGCTGGGGGGTGGGGTTTCAGGATATGGGGACTCACGTACACCCGTGGCTGGGTCGACATAAGGCTAAACCACCAGAATCCTGTAAAGCAATTAGCCTCCAATTAAAATAAATATATAAAAGAAGGAAGAGGTAGTGTAGAACAATTATAAAATATTTCGAATGAACTTGTTTAGAAAACAGAAAGAGACTCACAGACATAGAAACATACATCAGCTTACCAAGGAAAAACAGAAAAAGCAATAAATTAGGAGTATGGAATTAAAGGATAAACTCTACTGTATATAAAGTAGATAAATATCAAGAATTTACTGTATAGTACAGGGAATGTTATTCAACATGTTTTGATAACCTATAACGGAGAAGAATCTAAAAAGGAATACGCATGGATATAGTGCATATATCTGAATCACTTTGCTGTACACCTGAAACTAACACAGTATTGCAAATCAACTAAAAGTCAATAAAGTAAAAAAGACAAATAGCGGCATACATTGGCCTTTAATTGAGAGCATTTAAACTCTCCTGGAGAACCTTGCCTCAGACATGCAAGTTATTGCCAGCTAGCTGGTGCTGTATACCCACCCCTCCTAAAGTTATTTTTTTCATTCTGGAATGCATAACTAGAACACATATATTCATCAGTTGGTAAATAAGAAGTAGCTAAATTTAGGGGTTTAATGCTTCAGCTTCACTGGGATCTTCCCATATGGCCCCACTCCAATTTCAGGTTCCCATTACTTCCCAATAAATACTCACACTTTGGCAGAAGATTGGGAAATCAAATTGCATGTAATTCAGACACCAACAGGATGAGACTTTGGATTTAGTTTTCACAAATCTCAGCCCAGACTGAGGCCCTGTGGCTACAGGAAACAAAGGTTTCTTTTAGGTCAGACACTGAAGATTTCTGATCAGTTATGTGTAGTTTGGCCTGGGAATTTGAATCCCCAACCTCATCCATTTCCTTCAGTGCTTTCACCAGTACAGCTAAGAACAACCAACCGGTCTTACTAAACTCTTTAATTTGACTGAAAAGTTCTAAGATATCGAATATATGGTCATCAGAATCTTGCTTTTTATAAAAATTTGGTTAGTAACATCCAATGATGATGTTTTGTGTATCTTTATTTAAAATCCTCAAAGGTGATGCTCTTAAAGGACTGCACTCAATATGTCAGCAAATTTGGAAAACTCAGCAGTGGCCACAGGACTGGCAAAGGTCAGTTTTCATTCCAATCCCCAAGAAGGGCAATGCTAAAGAATGTTCAAACTACATACCATTGTGCTCACTTTACATGCTAGCAAGATTATGCTCAACATCCTTCAAGCTAGGATTCAGCAGTATGTGAATCAAGAATTTCCAGATGTATAAGCTGGGCTTAAAAAACCTAGAGCAACCAGAGATCAAATTATCAACATTCGCTGGTTCATCGAGAAAGCAAGGGATTTCTAGAAAAATATCTACATCTGCTTCATTGACTATGCTAAAGCCTTTGACTATGTGGATCACAACAAACTGTAGGAAATTCTTCAAGAGATGAGAGTACCGGACCATCTCTCCTTTTTTCTGAGAAACCTGAATGATGCAGGTCAAGAAGCAACAGTTAGAACTGGATATGGAACAACAGACTTGTTCCAAATTGGGAAAGGAGTACGTCAAGGCTGTATGTTGTCACCCTGTTTATTGAGTTTATATGCAGAGTATATCATGCGAAATGTTGGGGTGGATGACTCACAAACTGGAATCAAGATTGCTGGGAGAAATACCAACAACTTCAGATATGCAGATGATACCACTCTAACGGCAGAAAGTGAAGAGGAACTAAAAAGCCCCTTAATAAGAGTGAAAGAAGGGAGTGAAAAAGCTGGTTTGAAACTCAGGGTTCAAAATACTAAGATCATGGCATCTGATTGCAACATTTCATGGCAAACAGAAGTGAAAAAAGTGGAAGCAATGACAAATTTTATTTTCCTGGGCTCCAAAATCACTGTGGATGATGACTGCAGCCATGAAATTTGAGACACTTACTTCTTGGAAGGGAAGTGATGATAAACCTAAATAACATGATAAAAAGAAGAGACATTATTTTGCTGACAAAGATCCATACAGTCAAAGCTAAAGTTTTTCAGTGGTCATGTACGGATGTGAGAGTTGGACCATAAACAAGGCCGAGCGCCGAAGAATTGTTGCTTTCAAATTGTGGTGCTGGAGAAGACTCCTGAATGTCCCATGGACTGCAAGGAGATCAAACTAGTCATTCCTAAAGGAAATGAACCTTGAATATTCACTGGAAGGACAGATGCTGAAGCTGAGGCTCTTGAACTTTGGCTACCTGACATGAAGAACAGACTCTTTGGAAAAGACCCTGATGCTCGGAAATATTGAGTGCAGGCAGAGAAGAGGGAGGCGGAGGATGAGATGGTTGGATACCATCACCAATTCAATGGATATGAATTTGAGCAAACTCCAGGAGAAAGTGGAGGACAGGGAAGCCTGGTGTGCTGCAGTCCATGGGGTAACAAAGAGTCAGACTCAACTTAGCAACGGAACAACAACAACATTGCGACTTCATGCTCTAGACCACCTGTGTCCTCTTTACCACTGACCACATGCTCGTTAGTGTCTTTCCAACTGCTTCTATTAGAGAACCTGTTCCATCCAGAAGCCTACCTAGGAAACTCATCCCTAAGATTTTGCTCCTCTTCAACATTATGTGTAGCACAATCTGAGTTAGTCTGAGTTCTAACAGAGAAACAGAACTAGCAGAATAGATGTCGACACAGGGAAAAAGACAAACGCAGCAGGAGAAGGTGCCTGAGTGCTGCTTCTCTGCCCAGCCACGAGTTCTCCTGTCTCCTTCTCTGTCATCCCACTAGGAAGCTGAGCAGCTGAGCTTAAGAAGGGAACATGGGGA